AGTCTTTTTCGATAGTGAGATATATATGTTTTTCTATAGAGGCTTTTTATATTCTAATCAGTATATATTCTTATCAATATTACTATTTAGAGGATTTTCCTCTTAAAATAAGAAACTTTTCTTGGCGCCTATTTTAGTATAAAATATACTTAAAGTAAGTGGGATATCCTCAAAACAAGAATACAATTTTTTCGGTGATTCTTTTGGCTTTAGTTTCATTATATAAATGGATAAAAGGAAAAAAAAATCGAAACGAACGGAACGATTCGATTTCTTTCCGCGGAGAATATATATATATATATATACAATATTTTATTTATTGACTTATTGCTTATACAATTTCGCATTTCGTTTTTTTCGACGCAGAAAAGATTGCTTCAATATTTTTGTTCAGTCTCCGAGATGAACTCGAGATAAATTCACCGCCAATGAGACTAAGAGATTATTTTTTGTGCGAAATCGAGTTTTTCTCCTCTTTTCCGCGTTGAGCTTCCAATCTTTTTTGATATTCATTTCAATGAATCGCGCACGCGAGTGTATGTCCCATCGCCAAAAACGTACATTAAATATAACCGGGAGATTATAAGAGAGGCGTGTGATTTGAAAACGTCGAGGTTTTTTAACCCTTCAGACCGGGTCTCTGGACAACTCGTGAGATATCGCGACGCGACTTTAAGAATAATTTGAATATCTCCGCAAGAAGCAATATTTTTTCAATTTTTTTTTTTTTTTTTGAATTGGAAGATTGAACGATTCTGCGTCGATCAAGAAAAACAGATTGAAAAAAATCTCCAGTAGTTTTGAAAACACAAGCGTTTAAAGAGAAACCTGACAATTCTTTTTTGAAAAAAAGGTTTTTATTTAAAAATTCGTAACTTTTTGTGTAATTAAGATTTTTGCAACAATCCAACGCAGTTTTGCACGGACTCGTTCGTACTTTCAGAAACAAAAGTGTTTTCTACAAATTGTAACATTAAAAACATTTTCACAATGAGTCTTTTGGGACGTTTTTTGAAGATTGCATTTTTCTAGCACTCAACTCTTTAACATACAATATTTTAGCAAGAAATTCATATTTAGACAGATTTTTTTTTTAAATAGACAATTTAAACGATTCCGCGTCGATCAAAACAACAATTTGAAAAAATCTCTAGTAGTGTCGAAGAAACGTTTGAAACGTTTCTGCTCGCCATGACCTAATAAATCGCTATAAATTTATATATATTTTGATAAAATTATAAAAATCAACATTTTTTTTACTATATTAGAAGTGCATAAACCGAAAAACACTTTACTTCCTTCTGGAAATGCCGACGTCGGTAAATGTACAGAAAAGGTCACCCCTCTCCGATTTCAATGAGCTTGACATATGTTGTCAAGGACACCTTCCTGAGTAACAATCCGTAAATTTTAGCCGTCGCTCGTTGTTAATAAAAAAGTTATGAACAATTGAAGGTTGAAAACTAAGGCTGCTGCTTACAAGCTTATAACACGAACAAAAAGAATGAAAAAGTAGCCTTCAAAATATCGTACATACTAAATATTTACTTTACAAAGACGTATAATGTCAATAAGTATGTAGAGATCGGAAACAAATGTTATGATGTATTTCTCACTCTTTCTTATATTCAATATTGTTTTATATTAAACACGTAATCTCTGATTACGCGTTACGCGTTACGCAAAAAATAACAGTGCATGGGATCACATCCTAATTCTTTCATGTTTTTTATGTTGGTGTTGTAAACGTGTAGGCAGGGAGGGCTGCGCCCCCCCTGCACCCCCCCTAACATCTAACCTAACCCTAACCTAACCTGTGTTACTACAATATCAATAGATATGAGTGAAAATTTTGC